AAGAATTGGCAATATGTCCACCGTCTCCTTCGCACCGAATTATAAAACTTTTCTTGAATATCCTTCCGCGTTAGTGGAAGCTAACAAAACATATAAACAAATTACTAACAACTATCATAACCACGCGCTATATCCTAAAGTTAATAAACCGAGTAATGAAGACTACGGGGCTTGTGCTTGCGAATACCGGCCAGGTAATTACTATTGTCATTATAGTTAATGTGTGAAGAACGTATGTGGTTTGAATGGACTCTTATAAGGGAAAGAAAATTTCTAGTAAAATTTTGAGCAATTACATTAGTCATATTCCGCTAATCAGTTTTGGAAATCTAATGCTCTCAATATCTCATGAAAATTGAATGTTAATCTTTGATATATTGTTGTGGAGAACCTATAATCACACCCTTTATAGTTACTCAATTTTGAGAGTAGCTCCATGATGCAATGATCGCCATGTTGATGATAGAATTCGCTAACAACCTTTTTATTAAAGGCGACCCAATCGATGATGCTTGCGGGTCCGAATGTATCAATCGCGTACTATTCATAGAATGTACGGGAGATTGTCCTATTGGAGACTACTGTCAGAACAAAAGGTATAGCAAATCTTAAATCTAAGTATCTTTATTTCTTTTGGAATGAGTTTTATAATATTTAGGACAGAATTTATTGATAAAATTAATTTTCTAATTATTGTCACGCATATCTTTTTTAATTTGTTAGGTTCCAGAAAGCTGAATATGTTGTTATCGATGTCTTTAAGACCGAATCTAAAGGATATGGATTGCGAGCGATGGCACCAATTAAAAAGTAAATAGATTTAACCTTGAAGCTGCGATCATCTTCATTATATGAAACTTTTCTCTATTTTCTCTATATTTTATAGGAACACTTTTATCATGGAGTATATCGGGGAGATCATACCAAAAGATGTCTTTTATCAGCGTCAAACAGATTATGCGAAAAAAGGAATCCAACATTTCTATTTTATGAGTCTTCCCAATGGAGAGGTAGGGTAGGGTTCATCAAGGAATTCATGCTAATTATGTAAATATGATCATCATTTTTACATTTAATTAAACAGCTTATTGATGCAACTGAGAGAGGCAATATCGCGAGATTCATGAACCACTCTTGCAATCCGAACTGCTGCGTCCAGAAGTGGACTGTGAATAAAAGAACACGTATTGGAATCTTCGCTTTACGTGATATTGTTTTGGGAGAAGAACTCACATTTGATTACAATATGGATAGAAAAGGGTATGATACCTAAACTGGTTAATATTTTACTAAAGCTTAAATGTAATATATCATCTTTTCTACTAGAATGGCCGCCCAAAAATGTCACTGCGGCGAAGATAACTGCCGTAAATATCTTGGAGGTCAGAAGGGATATGAAAAATTAGATGATAATGAGGAAACAGTACAAATTCAAGATGCTGAAGATGTGCCCGAATTTATAAGAACAATGATCCGAACACTACATAATCGAGATGAAGTATTCAAAATGTTACATTGTCTTAAGGTATGTAAATTTTTTGTTCTTTCGGTTGAAATCAAGTTTAGCATAAGTAAACTCTTTTTGAATTATAATGATAGGTGATAGATGATAATGATGTTTTTAGCAAATTCAAGCATCTTCACGGGTTGCTTGTATTAAAAGCGTATCTAGTCGAATGGAGACAAGATGATGAGATTGTTTTAATGGTATGTTCTGTAATATGTTCAACTATTTTTTTATTTCTTAAAGCTTAGATAAAAAATTCCTTCATTAGACCTTAGAGGTGTTGCCGAAACTACCAATCATGGCTCGGAATACAATAAATGATGCTAAAATTGAAGAGAAAATGGAGATATTCAAGGAAAGATCTCCACAAATGAAAGAATTAGTGGATGCGGTGAGTTTTCTC